GAAGATCCTACGCGGGAGGGAATCTTCGGGTCTAGAGAGCACTTGTGCCGGATGTCCTATGGAAAGGTGGAAATCAAGCGTTGGCTTCGCCTATAACGAATACCTTTGCCGGAGCAAAGATTTTCCTTGTGGGGGAGGAGGTGGGAACCTTCGAACCCACGGAATTCGTAGAAGTGGAACCTGTCAATTACTCCGGAAACATGCTGCAGCGCACGGAGGACGTAGCTGCAGATAGAGAAGGAAAATTGCTCAGGTTACTTCAAGGTAACAGGACAAGTGGAGAGTACAATGAGGCAGTAGAGAAGCTCGTCAAAGGTTACGCCCATGTTTTTGCGGTGAGCGAACAAGAGTTAATGCAAACAAAGCTGGTGGAACACAACATTGAGACGGTGAAGCAACGCCCATCCGACAAAAAGCTAGGCCGATACCCTTAGCTACCCGCGTGGAGCTGAGGCGTATTCTAAACGACTTGCAAGAGCGGAATATCATTGAGCCAAGTAAAGTCGAGTTGGGCTTCGCCCATCGTGTTGGTGCTAAAGAAGGACGGAACTCTCAGATTATGCGTGGATTATCGGAAGCTCAATCAGGTGACAAGGGTTGACAGTTATCCCTTGCCAACGATTGACACGATTTTGCAAAGCTTGAAGGGTAAAAGCTACTTTTCGACTTTGGATTTGTCGTCAGGTTACTGGCAAATCAGCCTTTCCGAGGAGGCAAAAGAGAAGTCGGCGTTCACGACCACTGAGGGTCTGTATCAGTTCCGAGTGTTGCCCTTCGGTCCAGCGTCGTCACCACCGGTGTTCCAGCGGTTGATGCATCTCGTTCTCGGTCCTCTTTTAGGAGAGGAAGTCTTTTGCTACTTGGATGACATAATGGTAGCGACACGAACGGTGGAGCAACACCTGCTGACCTTGGAACGTGTTTTCCAGGAATTAAGCACAACTCAAGCTGAATCCAAAGAAATGCGTGTTGCTGGAAAGGAAAGTTGAGTTCCTCGGTCACGTGATTGATCAACGTGGGTTGCACATGGATCCAGCCAAGGTGGAAGCGATTATAAGGTACCCGCTCCCACAGTCACGCTCGGACCTTCGAACTTTTCTCGGTATGTGCTCCTACTACCGAAAGTTCGTACTCGGATTCTCAAAAGTAGCCGCGCCTTTACATGAGATGACCTCGGAAAAAATGCCTTTCAAGTGGGATACCATGCGGAAGTCATGCTTCGACAAATTGAAGTCTCTCATTGCACAAGCACCAGTTCTAGCGCAGCCAGACATTGAAGGAGCTAGAAGTGGTAAAAGGCCGTTCAAAATTCCATACCGACGCAAGCACCCAAGGACTTGGTGCTGTTTTGAGTCAAGAGGGAGAAGATGGATTCCTACATCCAGTGTTCTTCGCGTCGAAAGGCTTGTCTCGGTGCGAAAAGAACTACCACGTGACCGATTTGGAAGCATTGGCGGTTGTTTTCGCCTTTGCGAAAGTTCCATATGTTTGTGTATGGACTTCCAGTTGAAGTGTACACTGACCACCAAGCTCTGACTGCGCTTTTCAAGCGAACCAATGTTTCTGCGCGAGTGCTCCGATGGGCACTTGAACTTCAGAAGTACCGCCTGAAAATTATCTATCTGAAAGGCGCTGCAAATCGCGTCGCAGATGCGCTGAGTCGTGGTGCTCTACCTCCAGATGAGGAAGGAAAAATAGGAGCCATCCCAAACGAACTCATCGTGGCGGCAGTGGCAGAGGAACCCGAATGGACGGCCGAACTTCGACAAGACCCCGTCTATGCCGACGTGATAGATCTGAACGAAGACGTGGAACGCGTCCTTTAAGTCGAATATGAGTGGTCGAGAAAACCTACATGCACACTTAGAAAATCAGCACTTGTCTCATTATGAAATTTCAATTTGTTACCTATTTTACCATTTTTTCTAATTTTTTTGAATTTTATTTCAAACTTTTCTATTTCTACTAGTGTACATAGCTGAGAAAATGCGCACTCAAAAAACGTATTTTTTTTCAATGCTTTCATTGTCGCATTTCCAAAATATATTTTCAAAATCACGTACAATAGCTGCTTCTAATCTACCCACCAAATATTTGTCTGGAGTACTGTACTGTCAGAAAGCTAATGCAAAGGCCGTATTCTTCTAGTGCCTCGGTGGACGTGGAGAACATGGAAAGAGAAAAACAAACAAGAGATTAGGAGGCTTTGACTTGCAACACCTCCATTC